GAAGCTGGATGGAATTAAATTGGACTGATGGACAGAAACTGCGCCGGAGTGTGAAGGTAATGTGTTTGGATTTGGATTCGTTTACTTTGATGCGCCATTTATTACACCAGTGCTCAATCAGGTAGAGGTGCCTTTGCAGATTTAAAGATGCTATTTCGGGTTCTGAGTTGGATGATAGGATGGCAGTATCATCAGCAAATGTTGCCAGGAAGGTATTGGGATGGACAGGGATATCAGCGGTAAAAAGGGTATAAAGGACGGGGCCCAAGACGCTACCTTGAGGAACACCGGCTTCAACTGGGTAGGAATTCGAAAATTCTGTCCCACAGCGAACTCGAAAGGTGCGATTAGAGAGGTAGGAGCGAAGGATTAGGTATAAGGACTGCGGAAGATGGGGTTTCAGCTTGGAAAGAAGCCCGGCGTACTATACCCGGTCGAAAGCTTGAGCTATGTCCAGAAATGCACCCGAGCAATATTGCTGGCTTTCAAGTGCTGCGGAAATATGATCGACCACTCGGAGTCCTTGTTGGACTGTGGAGTGTTGTGAACGAAATCCGAACTGGTGGGAAGGAAGATTTTGGGGTTCTATAAAGGGTAGGATTCGTTTCAGTAGGATCTTTTAAAGATTTTTATGAGGATTGGAAGTAGGCTAATTGGTCTGTAGGACGTTGAGGTGCTGGGAGGTTTGCCTGGTTTCGGAAACAGGATAATAGTGGAATATTTCTACAAAAGAGGAAAGTGGGTTGTTCTTAGGATGGCATTATATAAGTAGGTGAGAAATATAAAAGCTTTAGGAGAAAGTCGAACGATTTGAGAGGTAAGGAGGTCGTATCCAGGAGATTTACGGAGAGGAAGTTGTTGTAAGTGATGTTTGACCTCAGAAGGATTAGCTGCTTCAGGGGGCAAGGAAAGTGGAATGGGTGATGTAAGGAATTCTCCTACTGTTGTGGTATGGGTGGGGTCGGATCCCGGATGAGAGGTGTATGTTCTGGTGAGCTATCTGGCGAATTCCTCAGCTTTATCTTCATCAGACGCTGCCCAGGAGCCATCGCATTGACGGAGGGGATGGGAAATATGATAGGGTTTTAGAATTTTGTTGGTGATCTTCCATAGAGAATAGTCATGAACAGAGAGGGAAGTAAGGTAGGAGTTGAAGGATTGAGATTTGAAGGTGGCCAATTCTTGCTTTAATCGTTTACAGAAATAATGATTGTCATTCCCTCCAGAAATGACGTAGGCGAAACCCCTATAGAACATGACAAATTAATGTTCACTGAACATATTAAATACAACATTAATGATGAACACAACGGAGGACTCATCAAGATTTAAAAATGACCCTTAATATGGTCGAAACGTCAAAATTAATGCATATCAATAAAATGTTGGTGGTAATTGGCCTTATTTATTGTAAAAAATAAAAAAAGTATTTTTACTTTTAATTAACATTTTATTTGTGTTTGATTATTATTTATTCATTTTCGTAATCGATTCATTCCATTTAAATATTTTTTTAAACAATTTGATATTTATCAATTGAGAAAACCTCTTTTACTCAGGCCGGCTGCGACTCTACTTACAGACACACTGGCTGCTCCGTATCTGTGACTGTCACAGTTGGGCCTAATCGGTACTCCATTGCTCCACAGTTCCGCTGCCACTGTTGAGCGTTATCGGTACTCCACTGCTCCACCGTTCAGCTGTCACGGTTGGGCCTTTGCCGGTACTCCACTGCTCGGACCCGACCGGCTATTTAAGGAGTATCAGTATTTCAGAATTCGCAGAAAATGAATGCAAAGTTACCAATTTTTTAATTTAGTTTTCGTTCTCAATAAAAATAAAAATGAAGGGATGCTATCGTAACAGATATTAAAGAAAAGAGTTCTAGGTTTAGGCAACTTACCAATTTAATTAAAATAAAGGCAAATAACTCTACTGAGTTCAACATAGGCAACATTCGACTTATTTTGGCAGTGGAGTGTATTTTGATTAAAGTGTTAGGTTATATGAATTGTGTAAAATAAAACTCATCCTTTTATGCTGGCATGGACATCTTACTTGACTGAGAAGGCCCTTCAATCTGCTCTAGGTGTTGTCTCTGAGAATTTCTGCCTTGGAATGGGCTGAGGGCGTTTCGTAGCTGGAGTGGATTAAATCTTATCAGATCTGTTCTCATTACTCGCCGCAACGCGATACAAAACAGGCTGTCTTATATATATATACACATGTAGTAAGTAATATTTTATTTCGTTGAGCCGTGTCTGCTTCGACTTTATTTTGTCATAATTCTCGTTTTCTCTTGGCTGCTTTTGCGTGAAATAACAGTATTTGTTTTTCGGTTGCATATTTTAATACAATTCCATAAGCAATGTAACAACAATGTAAAATATACATTGAACATTATTTTGTGTGCAACATTATTTTGTGTTACAAAGTTTGCAAACATGATGAATAATATTTTCAACCTTTTTTTTACTGGTCAGATCGTTGATTTCAGTAGAGAAAAACTTTCTCAAGCCACTATGGACCATTTTGCAAATAACAGGCGTTCTTTGGTCAAATAGTTTATGTGGCTATCGGTTTTAAATGAAATACGGATTGTTTCAGGGATTATGAAAGGACAATCCTTTTCAAAATATCTTTTTCTCTTCCCTGATGACCCATACAGTCAATTAAATACAGAAATATACTAATGAGGAACATAATTCCTTTGGAACCAACTAAACTATCCAACAACAATTATTTATCGTTCTCTATGTTATCGTTTACACTACCTCGTTCAGGATCTTCAGTTCACCTGTTTTAATTTTTTGATGTTCAAGATTACGATGGTTGTTTATGTACCTTAAGTCAATGGACATCTTAAGATGTGATTTTGTTTTATTATTTGTGTTTTGAATTTATATTCTTACTATATTATTGACATCCAGTTAGCATTGTTTCTGAATTTTATATTAAATTTTATTTAGTGAGTCTAGTAATTAAAAAAAAATTATGTTTAATTAAAATATCATGGATTGTTGATGTCGTTTAGAATATAAATTAACACTATGAATTTTCAATATGATAATACTTCAAGAGGATTAGAATGGATGTTAAAATTGATTGATTTAAAGAACTCTAGAACATTTTGTGACATTATTATTTTCAAAGGTAATTCATTGGTCTATGCACATTCTTGTATATTGGCTGCTTTTAGCCCATTCATGATGGAGTTGTTAAAAAGTTTTTCAAAAAGTGATTGGTCTGTTTTTAAACCATTAAAACTTAACCTCACTTATATGACCAAATGCAAAAAGAACAGTGATATGAATTGTATTGAGTGTGTTGGAAAAGTGATTGATTATCTGTATACTGGGAAAATTTTAGTGGAATATGCTCATGTCCCTCATCTCATTAATTTATCCAAAAATATGGAACTATTAAACCTGGTGTCAGTATGCCAGAAGTTTCAAAGCATAGAAAAATCAACTAATTCCAGAATTCCATTTGTCCAGAAAATTCAACCAGACCATTCCAGTGAAAATTTTAATCTGATTAGCTGTAAAAATATTCTTAATTTTGATCAGCTATGTTTAGAAGAAAACAGTGTTTTGAATAAAACCGGAAGTCAGAACAAAACTACTGTGGAAGAAGAGAAAATGACTGATGATTATGCTTTAGCAGAGAAATCATCTACCTCAACAAAATCATCTATTATAAGTAAAGAGGAACATAATTTTGATACTGAAGGTACTTTTAGTCATAAGCCTTCAGATAACAAATCTTATGATTCTGGACTTGTAGATGAACGTGGTGGGGAATATAATTGTATCAAATGTAAATTAAGATTTAGTTGTTTTAAAATGTTTGAGGCTCACAAGAAAGTTTTTCATAAAAGACAGTTTATTTGTCTCTCTTGTAATTTCACAACATTTAAATTATCTTATATAGTTTACCATCTGATGAATATGAACCATGAGGAAAGCTGCTGTTCTGTTTGCCTATATAAAGCCAAAGACAGTAACAGTTTAAAACTGCATTTACAAGACCACAAGAATGATTTCCCTTTTAAATGTTACGAATGTGGAAATTCTTTCAAAGCAAGGACAGCATGGCTCCGCCATAACTTTCTTCACAATTCTGAAGAGAAGCCTCATTCCAATCAAGTGTGTGAGGTGTGTGGATTTGTTACTCCTTATGAAAGTGTTCTCGAAAGGCATAGCCTTAAACATAGTAAGCTTAACAAAACCTTTACTTGTCCTGTTATACCATGTTCTTTTAGTACCTATTCAAAGTATAACTTGAAGCAACATATGTTTACCCATGACAATGATAAGTATTTTGTTTGTAAAGTTTGTTCCTTGAAATTTTCTCAGGAAAAGAATCTAAAGAGACATATCCAAACTTTACATGAACCAAAGATTGAGCCTTATAAGTGTTACAGATGTGATTATAAAAGTGCTAGGATAGATAAAATGAAAGGACATTGTAATTCTTTACACCCAGGTGATGATGAAGCATTAAATTCTATTTTAAAACAACATAAGGAAAAAAAATCTGTTAGTAGTAATAACAATAATAATAATAATGAAGAAACAAAGAAGAATGTTAATATTGAGCCCAAAAGCAAAAATGACATTGTAAAACCATTAGAAAAAAACTTGGATAACAGATCTACTGCTGATTTGGATAATTTAAAGCAAATAACAGAACAACAAATGGATATAACCTCAGTAAAAGGTTGTAATGAAAAGAAAACATTTATTTTAAGTGAAACCACTGGTGAATTCAACATTATCAGTGAAAATGAAGGTGAAAAAATTCCTGTTGCGAGTGTTACTTCGAAAAATGTTCTAACAATTGGAAATTTTCGTGAGGGTACCGGCAGTGTAACCTTAAATGAAACAACTGGAATACTTACATTTAATAATATCAACAGCGAATCAACAGGTGCGGTTTTTTTAAATGAATCTACAGGTGAACTTTCGTATATTAATCTAAACAAAGATTCCATTTCAATGGATGTTGAAAAACCGAAGCCCAAATATTGTAGAGAAGTAAGGACACAATTAAATGAATTCACTGGAGAAATAATTACTGTTGATAATGAAAGGAAACTTCAAGATCTTAATGAAGAAGATTCATTGTTTGATACATTTGACATGGATATTGGTAATGAAGATTCATGTGATGGGTTTGATGATCTTGATGGATTGTTGTTTGATCCAATAGATATTGAGGATACTGATAATATTGATCTATTTATATCAAAAAATGATACTGAGCCTCTTAAAAATATACCACATTTAAATGAAGCAACTGGTGAATTGTCTTTTGATATGGAATCACAGAATAGTAATATAAATATTTGGAATTCAAATTGTTCTTTTCATGAAGAAGAAGCTGAAGATCCTTACAGGCTGTTGTTAAATGAAGTCACTGGTGAATTTTCTTGAGACATTATTATTATATTAATGGCAGCTATATATTTTGCTGCAGAACGACTGTTGTCATACTTTCTCTATAAATGAAATACTCTTAAGTAATTTTATAGGACTATTTAGTATTATGAAGAAGAAAGTGTTTGGTTTTTCATGGCAAAACACAAATTCAAAAATAAGTTACATTGTGTAAAACAGTATACATTTACTTAGTTCTCATATTTCTATATTATTTTTGATTTTCAAGTAATTTTACGTTGAATCTTAGCAAGTTTTTCAAAGGATGTTACTATTATTTTAAATATATTTCATATTTTATAGAGGTTACTTCGCAATCATATTGATAAATGTTGAAAGCTTTAAACAGAAATTTTATCATACCAATAAAATTTCACTGTTTAAGCTATTCAGTTAGCTATCTTTTTACTTAATGTAGATGACACAATTTATATTTATTTTGTATAAGCTCTTAATATTTTCTAAATTTAAATTATTTTTGGATGTTCATAGAATATAATTAAATTTCTTGCTAATATTTGCAAGTTCAGATTTTTTGCTTTATTTAAAATTTGTTTCTTATTTTTTTTAATACCAGAAGTATAATTGATTCTAAATATTCATTTATGCATAAGTATTCATGCTTGGATTCAAACTGATAAAAAATAATGGATTAATAGAATGAATATCTAGTCATAGAAATTCGTTCATGTATTTATTTTAACTTTATTTTTAATATTTACAGTTTTTCAAATTATTCTTACATCCTCTGTAGTTTTGTTTATAGAAGTAAAATAGAGTGAATTATTCATTAGTAAGTCTAGTCGATTAAGACATTGTGTTAGCGTTCATTGTTTAAATATTGTTAATAATTTAACAAGCTGAACTATGGCTTTGCTTATCAGTTTGCGTGCAATCACTAGCCAAATTTAATATCCTGTTTACTTTAAGCCCACTCAGGTCGAATTGAGGAGGGAAGCAGGAGCATGAAAACACTTCACTCCCATTATTCCTGCCCTGTGTTCTCTTAAGAGATTTTTGATGGAATTCAAAGGGCTGGCAGCACGAGTGGAATATGTATTATGTCATCTTTTATTTATTTATGTTTGTCCTCTTTTTTAAATGAGAAACAGTGGTATATTATTATCAAGTAATGTCAGCTAAAGGTTCTAGTAAGTGTTTTTTCCCAGTGTAGGATTCACCCATTCCGTAAAACAAAACCTTTTTCCCCCTCCCCTTCTAGCCTATGCATGGTTTTCACAGTACAGGGATTAATGCCAGAGTTAAAAGCCTCTCTCCCCCTCTGGACACCAGGACGTGAAATATCTGTCTAATACTATGTCAGATTTTCTCACCTACAAACTTACAATAATAATAACTGGTAAAATTGATGACCTCAGCATATTCCTGAAGACCCTGACAATGCTGTTGATTTGTTTACTCCCTTCCTGGCCATTTCTGTTAAACAGGTGTTGTAGAGGTAGAACCAAATTTATTCTAACCGGATTATGGAGGTCGAGATTCATTCAACGGGTCCTCGTCAAAATATACTTTAACCCATCCAGGCCGGAATCGAACTGGCAGAGCTAGACTCAAGAAAGTGGGAGCATAAAAAGCTCTTTGAAACTGAACCACCACAGCCTCTTACACCCTTAGTTCAACTAGCAGTCCGCAGTGTTCCCCCACAATTTTTTAAGATTAACTAAGAAAATTAAAACTTAAGGCGAGAAATGCCCTATGGCCCTTCAGATCCTTGAACATCTGCATTACCTCTTTTTGTTCATGAAAATTCCCATGGAATATCACTAAAAAAACCTCGATATGTATCAAACCGTATGAGATGATTCTGGACTTGATGAAAACCAAGGAATTTATCTAATATCATTTTTGGACATTCACTGCTTATGCTTATCCAGAATCTCATCCCATCACACTGCCAAATTAAAATTATTCTCATCCTTTTAAAAAGATATTTTCTACTCCCGCAAATCCTTCCACAATTTCTATCCAAAGCTATCATATTTTTACAATTGTATCTACGTATTAATAAAACATTTTTTCTCTTTTGAAAAATGACTATTTTTTAAAAGCAGGTTCATTTTATAATTATTTGGCATCCCATAGATCTATTATTCTACTCCCAATTGTTATAAAAAGATCATACTAGAACAAATACTACCCTTACAAATGAAAACCTTCAATTCAGATTTTCCACTGTCCAAAAAGGATTCCAAGCTGATCATGTTTCCCTAGCCCTAGAACACCAGAAATATTGCTGGGGTGTATTTCTTGAGATAGGACAAGACAAGCTTTTAACCAGTATGCTTGTCATAATCGATTTACTCCAGTCCTCATACTACAATCCTGACTGCTCCTTTTAAGTTCGCTATGGTAGGTAGTTCTCAAACTATTATTCAGTATCTAGTGTTCTATAAGGCATTTGTTCCCATCCACATTTGTTGATAACACTGCAATCCTGTCATCCCATTTTAATCCTGAAACCTACCAACAATGAAACTAACTCTGGTGTAATGATTGGCACATCAAAATCCAATGATGTCACCTTAACTTTAAGATATAGATCCTGCCTGCCAGTTCATTTCAGTCACAGTATACATGCTTCTATTAGGCAGAAGACTTAATGAGGAACCCTTATACTAGACCAGGGGTTTCCAAACAAAGGCCTGGAGGTTTGATCGAAGATTTCTTTGATTACATGGTAAAATTTAGCAAATTATTCACACATGAGGTTACTAAAATTCATTGTATGGGTTTATTCTCTTAGTAAGCTCATTTCACAGGGTAGTTTCATTTATAGAACTTTTTTTTAAACACAAACCATGGCCTGCAGAACTTGGTAGAGGTCTCAAATGAGGCCCCTGGACCAAAAGGTTTGGAGACTCCTGCACTAGACTATGATACAAGAGGTCACTTAAACTTCGAAGATTACTGATCCACAAGATAATCCTGAAACTTAGCATCTAGAACAGGACAGCTGAATTTTTTATCAAATTTATCTAATCCCTCCAGTCTTAAGTCCTTTGAACAATAGCCAATGCTCCCTTCTACTTAACCAACAAGTCCATGCATCATGACCTTAATAACAATCCTATTTGTTTTGGACCTCATATTTAATGATTCTTCTGATTTCACTAGAACTGAATTAGGCATCTGAAATCTGTAGCACAATAGCAATCTTAATTGCTCCCCTCACCCATAAAACCCTCCTCCAAAGCCAAAACAGCTGTAGGCCCACCTTTTGTAAATATGTGTATCTGAAGTTCCAGCAATGACCATGTTCTTCACTCAAGCATGTCCATTTATGGCTACAGCACACTCTCTAAACCCCCATTTGCTTAAAAGACAATGGAGATTTGGTTCATAGAGAAGTATGTCTTTGTTTAAGATGTTTACTTAATAATCCTATTTATTTCATCTGTTAATATTGTGTGCGGTCTCTCATTATTATCATTGTCCTTAATTGTGAATGTAATATTATTTAATAAAAAAATTAAAAAGCATCTGCCAAGTATGGTCTAGTATTGCTTCCTCACTATTTTAATAATATGACCTAGATTTAAAGGTATAAGATTCATAGTTCAAGAATAACATTTATGGGTGAAACTGATTAACAATTTAGATTAAATCATTGAAGGAAGTTAGTCGAATGTTCTACCTACCATAGATGATCAATATTCAGGACGCAGTCATTGTTTTTAATAGTGCCTATGTTTCAACCCAAAAGTGTGGGTCCATCATCAGTGCTCGAGACATGCTCTGATGATGAGCCATCTGTTTGGGTTAACTTTAATCTCTTTAGATTAAAATTAAAAGGCGTCATTATAATGTTTTTTATCATTATAATGACGCTTCATTATAATGTTTTTTCATAAGGTTTTTTAATGTTCAAGCGTCATTATAATGTTTTTAATAGTGCTGACGTTTCAACCCAAAAGTGTGGGGCCATCATCAGTGCTTGAGACATGCTCTGATGATGAGCCACTTGTTTGGGTTAACTTTAATCTCTTTAGATTAAAGTTAAAAGGCGTCAGAAGCCAGGGAACTTTCCTCACTTAGGGCCAAATCGAGCTAGCAAGTTTTGAGATATAAATCTGTCATATAGATTTGACAGCAGACCAGGGAACCAAATTAGTTCCTTGAAGCATAAAATTTAAAACAAGGTTACATTTTTTTCTGTCATTATGAGAATTTCATCCACAAAGATATTGCTCTGTGTAATAGCCACCGAAAGAATACAATCAGTAAATTGCATATCATGTCACATAGAAATATTTTTTATTTAAAACGTTTTATGGAATTTATAGTCCACTACTTTTTTGGAATGTACTACATATATGAAAAAAATAAAAGGGGTTTAGGTAGAAGATTTAAAAATGTACAAACTTTAGAGCATCAAAAACTTAAAAAACTTATTAAGATATGGCTGAAAAACTTGATTTGACACAAAACTTCTCTTTACTTACCCTTTTACGTGTACTAGTAGTTTGACTGGACTAACCACTTATCACAACTTTATCTTTACATACATGCTTGATGCTCATGTTATAAATAATAACTTTTGTCAGGAGAGATTAGTGGTATAAATACAAGGAATGATTCATAAATATGTAAGAAGGTTCCATAAACCTTTCTAAATTTTCCTTATTAGATTTATTTTTTGATTAGCACAAATACATAGGAACAAACCTCTTCAAATGTTTTTATATAGATATGCAGCATTTGAAATTATATGAATATAAAAAAAATAAGGCAGCAATAAATAATTATTGATGAAAAGAAAACCATTATAAAACTTAAAAAAGATATAGAATCATAATGAGTTATGGTCCTATTTATGGGTAAATCTGACCAAATAATTTTGTTTTTTTTTACTTAGTGATTCAGAAATGAATAAACTAAAATCAATAATCTTTGTGTTAAATAAAATAAGGAAACATTATACAAAAATAAAAGAGAACAAATCAAGAGCTTTTAATTCATATAAAATAACATCAGCATGAAAGAAGCTTTGATTTTCCCCCAAATGTTTTTCTTCATCCACAAGCCTTAATGATCTGGATAATTGGCCTGAGTAATAGATGACAGAGCAATGATCTGTTTAGACTTTTCCCATTCTTTTTTTGGTGTTTTTTTTTTATAAAATAAGTTATCAGAAAAAGCAGTTACCTAAAAAAAAAAAAAAAAATAGAAGTTTATATACACATATTTTTCCTAAATAAATCTGTGAATAGTGAATTAACCAGTTTATAAATTGAATAATTAAAGAGTATTTGCAAATCCAAGTGACTGGAAGTCAGGTCAACTTCAGTGTCCAATGAAATAAATCCATTTTTTTCACATTTGTTCTCTTTTGGATATAATTTTTTTAGATTTAAAATACAAACATAAGTATGGAACTTGACTTTACTGTCTCATTATATCATATAGACCAAGAAATAGGGTAAATACAATAAGACTATATAAGAGGGGTGTTACACCACTTATAACCCACTATTCACAGCAACATCAGAATTATAATTGAAAATGAAAACAATTGGCACTTACATGAGTATAAAAAATGGAGAGGCTTTTCTTTTTCGCACAGCGAATACACTTTAAAACTTCTCTTCATCAAGGCCATGTTTAAAAAACATGAGAACAGGAACACTTTCATTGTTTATGTCTCTATATTCAAGGAGAGCAATCATACCATCAACATCCATTGATTCACCTAGAGATTAAAAAAAAAAAATTAAATAAATAAAATTATAAAAAAGTATTCAAAATATAAAGATGGCACGGAATTGAGAAGATTCTACAGTATTAAAAAAATACATCAAAGCAGACTTGGGCAGCATTTCAAAATATAAAATAGACTAACTGCATTTTATTTTTAACATAAAAAAAAAGATTATACTTAGAATTTTATTCACAAAATGTATTACTAAATAGAATATGTTACCTAAATTATATGTTGATAGTCTATCAGAAATATTTTGTATTAGTAATTAAAATATAAAATACGCTAGTATTCAAAAAATGTTTTTTGAAAACAATTTAAATATTGGGTGGATCCATAAGTTTGTTCGGTTATTGTTAGTAATGCAAATTGTTTTCAAATATCTCTAGTTCTCTTTCCCTTATCTGACAATAATGATACTTATCGGAAAGGCTAAAGTGAACTCTTCGAAATTGTTTTGTTTGTGATACACCATTGTAAACTTGTCAAAATGATGATGTGCATTTTCGGCACATTCCTTCCCCCCCCCCAAAAAAAAACAGCAAGCGAGCTTCGAAGGCCCACCGACAACAACAGACCGGTACTTCGCAATAACCACACAGCAAAAGATAGGTTAGTGGAACTTGGCTGGGATGTTTTATAACACCCAATGTATTTTCTCTGTAACTTTCACCATCTGACTACCACTTATTCCGGTCCCTTCAAAACTCCCTTAACAGGAAATTGTTTGCTGATGAGGCAGATATAAAACGTATCTCTGTCAGTTTTTCTCTTCTAAGCTTCAGATGTTTTTAAGAGATTGGAATAATGAAATTGTTAGAAAGAGAATTCATTATTGAATAAAATTTATTCTTTGTATAAAAAAAAACAAACTTGTCTTATTTCACCCTTCAAAAACCGAATGAACTTATGGATCCACCTAATACCTTGTTATTAAAATACACTGTATTTTACAAAACACAAAATTTTAAAATGATGATTAAAATATTTTTTGAAGACTGATTTAAAGAAGAGGGAGGATAGATTTTCATTAACCAACTTCTCACACTATTTGAACTATGGTAGGTAAACAATATTTCACTAATAACACATTATAGTTTAAATACACATTGCATTAAGAAGATTAATTGGCTAGATTAGATTTTTTATCTAGATATTATCAAGCAAAAACACAATAAAAAAATACATATATATGTAAATAGATACACATTTGAACATTGTTTACTCTAGGCAGTGAGCAGTTAAATAATATTAATTATAAAAGCATTATACAGCACAAGAGTAATTAATCCTTTCTTTAGCATGAATAGCTGCTGATTCAATAATGATTGAATCAGTTATTGGATCATGCATTACAATGAGGGATATATACACATACATTATATTTTCAGAGTTATTATTTAGTCGTAGAAAAAGAAGAAAATAACCTCATAAATTATAAATACTAAGCTATCCTAAAACGTAGGAATAATAAAGCTTAAGTGAATGAGGTAAATATTACAAAAGATTAGTTCAAGCAGAGGGAGAGGAGGGGTGAACAACTCTACAAGGTTCACCACTAAGATAGCATGGAAAACATGGGTTAAAAAACAAATGTTTGATTAGTCAAGGGGTTTATAATTTGTCATTTGACAAAGAAAAGGGGGGACGGAGGAGAATAATTTGAATCGTTCAAACAAAGAAGTATTAATCTAGACTGTAGGTGGAGAACCTTTTTAGCATTAGAAGGCGCAATAATTCTTTATATTTTACCCTCGCTATTTTTATTTATCACTAAATACCCACACCCACACATTAATTTCTAAATTGTCATTACTTAAATAATTAAACATTTATTAATTCCATCACTAGATTAATGAATATCGCAAAAAAAGGTTTGGAAGCCGCAACTATAGGTCAGAAGCTACATGTGGCCCCCGAGACTGCGGTTTCCCTTCTATACTCTAGAATGAGTTAAATATAATAATATATTGTGTTCACAGTAATTTCCTTGATTAGCAAGAAAAATTAAATTGGACCTAGGAGAAGAAAATCAACTATTCAACTTTGTATGATGCTGAAGGCTAGTATTAATTATATAACTAGTATGACTGATTCTCTATGCAACTTTCATATATATCCAGGAGGCGTTTCAGGATTAAGTGCCTAAACTGAAAATATGAATTAAGGACCTCAAAATAAGAAAAAGATTTCCTCTGAAGGTATGGCCACAAACGCTTTGTTTAGGAGATATTCACACCTAAAGATTTTCGTTGTTATTAATTATTTACATTATATTAAGTAAATAAAACTTATTTATTTGTTCTAACTACTTTATTAATTAAACGTAAATATTAAATGTTGTTCAAAGTGATTTCCTTGAGTATTAAGACAGGCTCGGCATCTGTCTTTAACAGCAGCAGTAGCAGAACAGCACTGGATATGTGTTATTGTTTCACAAGATTCAATTATCCTTCTCCGTAAGGAATTAAGGTCATTGACTGGACTTAAAGATTTTTTGTTTAATGTCACCACCACAAACAAAAAAATCCAGTGGATTCAGGTCTGGAGAGCGTGTAAGCCAAGCCCATTAGTCCTGCACGGCCAATCTAATGATTGGGATAATTAATATTTAGCTATTGTTGTGCATCTCTTCCGTAATGTGCAGGACAACCATCTAATTGAAGCCACATATCCCTTCTCAGTTGTAGTGGGATATGTTTAACTAAATCATAGTAGGGATAAAATGTCATTAGTATTTTATCTAATCCATCTCCTAAACAAAGCGTTTGCGGACATATCTTCAGAGGAAATTTTTTTCTTGTTTTGAGGTACTTAATTCATATTTTCAGTTTGGTCACTTAATCCTGAAACACCCTGTAGAGAAGTTAAAGAACTGGAACTAATAATACATGATTTGTTGGTCATTAATCTTCAGTTTTTTTTAGAATAAATAAATTTATTTTGTGACATTTATAGTCTTTGAGATATCATTGAGACTTCCCGTAAATCCTGTGGGCCGAACCATGCCCCCTCCCCCAATGAATTGCACCGACCATACCCAATTAAGTAAGAATATAATGCAAAATAAAATGTAAATAATATATAGGTATCTATCATTTGCCAATATTAACTGTCACTTCCCACCCTTAGTGTTAAATTCATATTTCTGTTTAGTACTGCAATAAGAATATGAAAGAGCAAGAAGTTTTTACTTAGAAGAAAAATTTCAAATATGTTGCCGACTGGAGAGGGAAGAGCCCAATAGTAACCTGACACAAGAATTAAATCTAAGTCTACTAACAATTTGAAAAAATTCCTTATAAAGTTCATTTGAAAAAGAATGCTGAATGTAGTGAATTTTTTAAATACAAAAAATGACGAAATCTATTCTTCTCAATATTCTGCTATCCAGGGTAAAGGCAGATTTTACTAGAAAGGACTGTCGAATATTAAAAATCAAATCATGATCCATTATGATCCTTAAACTAATATTTTGTGAGGATGGATACAAAGATTTAGCTCCCGAGACAATACTGTTATTAATGAAATTAGCTGTAAAGTTGTCAGCATTCTGTTTCAGTTGGCCAACGAATAGAATTAAGTTTAGCCTAGTTTCCCACATAATTTTTTAATAAGTTAACGTTCCATCTGTCTCTACATTTTAAGATAAAAAAATGTTTCAATGTAAGGTTACTTTTAAACAGAATTACCGTTAAGAAGTTTATTACTTCATATAAAAAAACAAAAACATATGTTTATAGATGTATATATTACAAATAGCGACTGTGGTCGTTTATGAAAATTTGAAAAATATATTTACATACTAAAAAAATGATCTGACTTCTCCCGATATAGGATATTCCCTGATTTTTTCTATTTTTCTAGGTCAGTCACCACCCTGATGATTAAGAAGATTTCAATTATCAGATAAAATTAAAAGCGAATTTTCAGGATTAGAATAATAATTCAAAAGTCAGCTGAATTTAAAACTAATACATCTGATATTTTTACTGACCTAAATGAGTAGGCATAATAGCATCATGGGGCTTTCTTCAACTTTAAGAAGTATTGCAAGAATTTATAATCTCACTAAAACTTATTAGTCTAATTGAAATGCAAAGAAAAAGATAAATAGAAATCAAAATAGTCAAATTAATCACCAGAATTTGATTCTAAAAGAGGACTGGAAAAGGAGATGGTTAAGCGGGTTTGTTATTTAACTTCACCTTTGAAGCTCAGGCACATAAAGAACAGGGAACATCAACAACCTTCGGCCAATTACTGGCCTATGCAAATGATACTGAAATAGTTGCTCACTCTATTAACACACTTAAAATGTAAGAGTATTCCTGTCATACGAAAGTCATTGCAGAAATGGGTCTGAGCAAACTATAATGAAGGCAAGAAAATTTACATGCAAGTTGGTCAAGGTGATGGGAATGCGGCAAACGAATCGTTAGAAATAGGTGTATTTAGGTTAGACCAGTTCAAGTAATTGGTGATATTTAAATTAACAAATAAAATATCCACACAAGACTTAAATTTAACCTTTACTCTAATAAAAAAAATAAAGAATCCTTTAACACAAACTCCAATTACAAACATCATGTACATGCATACCAAATCACATTAAAATTTGATTTTCTGTATATTATCTTACCTGTGAAAAATTGGAGTTCCTTAAACCTACCAAGAATGTCTTTCATAACTTTATTCATATTGGTCTTAAAGGTTTCTATTTGTGATGGATCTTTTTCTTCAAGTCTAAAACAAAATAATTAAAGAATGATGTAAATACATACAAAAAGACTGAAAATTCAAGTCATTAATTACATTAGTGTAATATTAATTTAAAACAATCACATAAAAATAGAATATTAGTGTATAGAAAACAAAACAATATGAATTTCAAATCAATTCTATTATTTTAAAAACCTTAACTAAATAAATATTTACTATCTAATTTTATCAGAACTACATCATTACTCTTGTATTAAGTAAGATCTTTCTTTAATGGAAACAAATTATAACAGAATATAAAAATTAAGAATTACAGCCAATGACTCTCTAGGGTAGAGGCGAATAAAAAAAAAAAAAAAAAAAAAAAAAAAAAAAGATGTTAATATTAGTCACACTTGAGATGAACCTTATAATCCTAAAATTACGTATAATTTGATAATTGTAAATAGGGCAGTAACAATACCTAAATATCTTTTATAAATATTGTAATACATTCTAATAATTTCACCTACTTCCTGATCATTATGGAAGGTGAAATATAAATACTAGTAGACAGCCTATATTGTTAAGAGTTTATCATATTACATGAACAGAGCTTAACTCTTGGATAGAATATTTACAGAAAATTCCCCACAATGACTGAGAAGTGCAAAATTATAATAATTATTTCGTATGTCACATGAATTTGACAACAGACACTAAAACAAGAGCGGAAATTAAAAATTTTTTTTTTCTTTGTATAAAAAATAAATGAAGCACCTCTACTTTAGTATTAAGAAAAAAAGTTCAGAAACCTTCTTTTATTAATTTTATAAGTTTCTTTTATTTAAATTTTATTTCCCCCTAAGCTTTGACTTGGATATTGTTAAGTGGTTCAGTTTTCAACAACCAGTGGTCATCACCACAGCTTGTTGATTAACAGATAAGTTTCTCAGATTAAGTCTGGATTATTAACACATTTTTCTGATAGATGTGTTAAGAAAGTAACCTTACCCTACAACTTTAAATTTGAGTGTTATTTATTATTCATGTTAAAAAATTGCCATTTATTCAACTCCATATAGACGGTGTCTCTTAAATAATAGGAAATATTTAAACAAGCAATAGAGAATCTTAAACATCTTCATAACTTCTATCAATTTTAAATTTCAAGTCAAGGGCCCGCTCTTACATTACATATATACAACATATTTGATAAATTAGGTCTAAAGACCTAACAAAACCTTTTAAATGCTTAAGTTGACCGTTTAAAAGGGTCATAAGAGACACAATCTTATTAGAAAATACAAATAAATTATTGTAACAGATTTCTTGACTCACATTAATTAAAAAAAATATAAATAATTAAATATAATTACTTGCTGACTAATTTCTTCATATAGTCTTTTAAATAGGCTGTATATGATTTTTTATCACCAAAAGCGAATGTTTCGCATAACCTGTGATTCAGTACTACATCAACACCTGATTCAACAATTTCAGAAGTACCTTCATCTGCTTCTTCAGCAGAAGGATTGAAGCCATCGAGCTGGATATCTCCTTGTTTTCTTGTAACAAGCTATAGAAAAGATTTATTAATTAAATTTTAATTTTCAAGATCAACGGATAAACAAAAATATTTGTATTAAGTTATGTGCTTAAACCCAAAGTTCATTGAATTGGAATGATGAGAAAAAGAAATCATACCCACTAATAATTTCAATGGTGTATATCTTAATTTTTAATGTAAAGGTAAACAACAATACTTCAAAACATTTATTTATTTTTTTCTGTATAAAAATGTATTAGCGCCTGTCAACTTTTTGTTGATAATCAGCAAATGTGCTGGAGATACAGGAAATAATGACATGACAGGCATGGGGGATGAAAGTACACAGCAGAACCTCTACCCTAACTTGTTTCAATTACTTAGGTTGTTTAAGGAAGGAGATCTCTCATTCAATACCTTTATAGTCTCCAACTAATGTTCAGGGATATGTCAGCTGTGGCCATGTCTCTTATTATGTCCATTTAAATTAGCATAAATAAGGGTCATTATATGTTGGATAGTGGTGGTCAGGTCAGTATATGGAGTTTTGTTAGTCATGTACCAAGGTGCTTTTGTTATGAATAGCAAATAATTTTGTGATTGGAAGATTTAAGTTTTAGTAGATGGGTCTTATTAGCGATATCATAAATTTATGTCGAGCATGTCCATATGAGTTTAAGTAAGTATGTATATGTATTCAGTTTCTGTCTCAGTAGGAGTTTTGAAGATTTAGCAAAAAGCGAGTAAAGTAGTTTTGAGTCGTTTAATAAATGTCTTACATTTCATTTTTACATGTGGGCATTTAATTTAAAAAACAAAACAATATAAACATACACACAATTTCAATTTATATCTATTGTAAAAAGTAGAACAATGAAGATATACTGAAATAGAGTAACATACCTTTCCATATACTTCATACAGAACTTCATCAACAAGTTTCATTTTATAGGTATCAGAAAACATTTCATCACCTGAAACAAATTAATAAATATAGATATTATATTTAAGAAATGAATATTATAAAGATCACATATTATAGTTAACACTTTACAGCAATCAGAAATGGATTTAATATTAATGTTTTAATTTTTTTTTACTAATAATAAAAAAAGAAGTTTATTAGTTTACAAGTGTCATTTTAACAGGATGGCTCATAGACCAGAACCCAATCCAATGTAGATGATATACTGATAGTAATGGTGGCAACCTGTTTCTAGACCTTCCTTCTTGCCATCAAGGATTTAAGGGCATAAACCCCTGAGGTCATGAATGCCTATGAATAACCTTTGTTGGTATATTATGGAAGGTATTCTGAACTATACATAGCAGTGTTTAGGTTATTATTGAAAATCAAAATAAATATAGTTTTCATATTTCTGACAGCAGATAATAATCACAATCTTGGGTGATTTTTAATTTAAGAAAGATAAAATCAAAACTAGGAATCCCGATGAAAAAGAGATTACATAGGGGAAATAAATTGTAAAGCAGACCCTACACGGTAATTCATGAATGAACGTCACAAGAAGTGCCAAGATTGCCCACGATCGCTTTGATCATGAAGACCCTTACACGTTCAATCATTACTTATCGTTGCTGATACCAATTTAGCTCAGTTGTAAACAAAGAAACAGCATAGACATGCTTATTTGGACATTGTCATTTATAATATTGGGCATCAAGAGAAAAACGGAGATATAATAATTACTTCCTAGTGCCTGAAAATCGTGTAGACCAAAGTTGGAAAAATATAAGGCAACTACATACAAAAATCTAGGAAAAATATTGCGAAAATAATCAATTTGTTAAGAAAAGTGGAAAAATTAATGGCAAATAAACACAACAGTTAAAGATTTTTTTTCTATAAGTAAATTGTGAAGTTTCCACTTTTTTCTTCTTCAATTTATTGCCTACTTGACTATTTAAAGAAAAAATAGTTGAAAATGGTTAATAATAATATAAACTAGGGATATAAACAACTATTTACTTAATAAGGAGACCTAGGTAAACTAACCTATCTAGTAGTAGTCTCAGAGAAAATCGTTTTGACAAAAGTTCGTAAAATATAAGTCTACTACTTACAAAAACTAAGGAAAGGTATTGCGAAAATAATAAATTTGTAGAGGAAAATGGGAAAAGAACTGATAAATATACACAACGTTAAAGTTTTTTTCTTTCTTAAAGTAAATTGTGAAGTTTCCTCATTTTTTTTTTTTTTTTTTTTTTGATTTGTTGCCCACTTGACTATTTAAAAGAAATAGTTGAAGATGGTTTAAAAAGGGTCCGCTTAAGTTAATACAGCAAAAACTGACTTAATAATATAACAAAAGAAACTAACAAATAAAATAACTACGATGAAAAATAGCATAAGCCAAAGAAAAATTCTGCCTCTTAAAATAAATTTTTATGACTAAAAAAAAGGTTTCTTTTTTTTTTTTTGCATACAGCTTAAAATAAAACAACCTAATTAAATGTAAATATTTCTATACCTAAGTGTACAATGCAATCTAAATTAACATAATTATTGGTGTTATAGGAAGAACTAGACTGTTTCAGGCACTCTTAAGTGCAAGCGTAATCTTGGCCTCTCTTAATATAAGATTTCGAAAACTACAATTTTCTATTTTTTAAATGCCAAAATCATAACTCCTCATACTATATGAAATTATAACCTGATGCTTAATGTAATACTAAACACCCAATATGAAAATATGAACAATCATTTTGTTACAGACCAACAAATCAAGATTGTACTTTTTTTTCAGATTATAAGTATAATAACTTGGATTAAATAATCATTTAATCGAGCTAACAAATAAGAAAATAAAAAAGTATCACAGAATTTGTTTTTTTTTTTCAAAGATATAAAAGAAAATTTAACATACAAAATTGTTAAAATTCATATATGACAATGGGTAAACCGAAAATTTCAAGCTCATTATTTCGTAATGAAGTAGAACTAATAAATTAATAACAAAGAGTTTCAACCTCATGGGCTTGACAAGAGTTGAAATAATGAATGAATTAGAAAATAAAGAGTTAATGTATTTTTTAAAATAACTCAAGTAAGAATTTCCCAACACCTGCTAAATTGTCAGGCATCTTTGTTGTATGGTATTATTTGCCACTTATGCTACTGAGAACTCTCACTGTTGTACAGGAATGGAATTTTTTTTTTTGCTCATTTATCATTAAGATTTGTTTCTTAGTCACTAAATCTGTACCCTGAAGGTAAAGAACATCCTGTCAAATTGTATTTGTTCAGGAAGCCGATTTTCGTTAACTTTGGCTAATTTATTTTTATAAAATTACAATATTACTAAATGCAAAATGGACACCTTTACCTCTGGGACACAGATATGGTAATACAAGTTTCTTAGGTACATATGTTCTCTCATTAAACACTAATAGTATTAATAATCAACCTTAAATTTACTCTTTAGCATAAAATGACAATACGACTCACAATTATTAGTGTGTTATAATAAATCACACAATCCTTTTTAAATACAACAAACTTTCTTTGCCATCTGGAATGCTCCTGCATCACAATAAGGTTGAAAAGTCCTGACTTAGAAATATTCCATGTCTATTTAAGAATAAAATTTTTAATGGATATATTTATACTTTGAATTGTACATTCATTCGACAAATCATGTATCGCATTGAATTTCTCTAAAGGGAGGGAGGTTAACTGTTGCAAGCATGTTTTTCAATCACTTGCACATATAGGTTTAAAAATATGAAAATACAAGAACTTCAAATGAAACTGCATTGTGTAACATCAACATAGAGGCATTCAACCAATCAAATGGTATTTACATAAGAACAGATAAAATGTTCTGTAAAAAGTAACCTGACCTGACCTGTCAAAAAACAGAAGTCCTATAACTATATTGGGCACTTCAAGAACAGGTCATCATGAGATCCCATATCTGTCAAGCTGTAGTAACTGCTATGGATTAATCAGAAAAAAAGTTAGTGAACATATGTCTGCATAATTAGACAAGTTACTGAGATCTAAATGAACCAAGTTGCCACCCAAGATATAACAGACTTCCCAATATCAAACTATAAGTTTGAGATTAATAACAAGAACACTTAATTTTGTGAAAGAAATTTAGTAGTAATTGGAAGATATGTAATTAAAGAACAAAATAGAATTAAAATTAGTGTCTACATTAGTATTGAGAATTCATGACCCTATTCCTTTTAAATGATAAAATAAAAGAAATAACTATACTTCCAATATTCTGTTAAGTCAGAAGGTAACAGTACTGTAACACTAGCAGAAACTTATGTTACCTTCAAGACTACAATAACCTGTGATCAACTAACTACATTCCAACCATTCAAAAATTAATGAACAAAAAAAGATAAGTCAAATATTAATTCAAAACATATACGACACGTGTGCAATGGCAACATCATAGAATTGGTGCATATTTCGGTTGATTCATGAATTATATAACTAAATTTTTTAATTAACTAATATTAACAAAATCAAAATAAGTTTAATGGACATAATAGTAAAATTACCTGTGAAAATGTCCTTGTAAATCCTCATTTTGACCTAGGATGAAGAAAAACTCTACGGATTTAGAAAACTCAACAACCGTTCGGGTGAATGGAAGATTCGGAAAGACCGAAAATAGCAAATGCTCCCAGGTTTCTTGATCACAGCATAGCTTCCTAAGCTAAATAAATTAGATCCTTTTGAGAAAAATATAAATATACAAAACACCGTTTTAAAATTTTTATATGTTTAATTTTGCAATTGTTTTATAATTAAAAACTATTATGTATAATATATTTCTTGTTTTTTTTTTTGTATATACAACTCAATTGAACCTATGTATGATTAAAGAAATTATGCATTGAATGACACATAAATTTTGGATACTTTTTATTGCTATTGGGTTGTAATAAAACGGTTAAGCTGATTATATGTTAATCGATCGTGAATAAAATGTTTATGTACTAGTTTGTTTGGCAGGCATAGTTAACCTTTCCGAATTTTGATTCCGTAATTAATTTTGTCAATCTATTTATTGCGGTGAGAAATTTTTTAAATACGTTGGCTCTAATGTTTCGATGCCATACATTATAGTAAGGGGTAATTTAGCATCTTACGATAACCGGTACCCTTGGAGAGTTTTAGTTTCTGGACTTAAGGGTAAACAACATCTTATAATCGATTTTGTTTCATTATTGCATGTAATCTTTCTTGAGATAAGCAACTTGGAATCAGTGTGTTAGTTCTAGTTTGTTCTTTACTAGTTATTATAGTGTTGTTACTTTAGTTTCATGGTATTGCAAAAGTATCAAATGCAAATGTCCATTATATTATAGCTGAAGATATTGAACAGCTCAAGAGATTTGCTTCTGGAGGATATTGTGATGACTTTACTATTGTTTATCTTCAGCATCCAACTGTGATATTAACAGCATTAGAAGTCTTAGGTTATCAAGTGGTTGCTTCTTCATCCACTGCTGTAAAACAGGATTATAATGAATATATGTGGACTATGAGGAAAGATTTCTCTGAGCCGGAACCTATTGCGCGCAAAAGTTGATGGAATTGTGAATTAAAGTAAGTATTAAGCGCTACTATTTTTTCATCTTTCTGTTCATTAGTATTAGGTCACCATTTGCATAATACACAGATTGTTAGATCTTATTTCTAATGAGATAAGGCAGTTAAGCAATGCTTTTTTGCATGATTCTTCTGTATCTGATTAATATAATTGAGGTAATTACATTGCAACTAATTCATTGGACTTGTAAAATTGTTAGGTTAGAAGTGAAGGAATATTGAACTGACTAATATGTGCAATGCCAACTGAATAGGCTTTGGGCAAACCTTTAAGTTCAATACTGATATCACCAGTTGATGTTTACATACTTTCCTCATTAATACTGTAGAATGTCGCTCCATTTTCATGGGCGACACAATATCTGATGTCCATACCATAAATGGTATGAGGATAATGGCTGAGTGGGTTCTGAAAGTGGCGAAACCGTTTGATAAGGGCCCAACTTCAACTGAAAAAGACCCAGTAGAGATTTATTAATTCCTTTCTAGTGAGTGGAAGACAAAAGCAGCAATGTAGTTACAGCTAATTAACACCCTGATTTAAACTGAACGAGACCTGGAGGAAGTTAACCAGTCATTAATCGCATTCTAAATAAAGGGAGGTTGTACTGTGAACACTTGGTAAATCTTAGGTATTCTCAAAATCAATGGTCCAATAGACCATTGGACTGTGATCTTGGTCTAATTAAACAGTTTGTTCACTTTCAGAACTCAGTCAGCCATTACCCTGATACCATTTATGGTATGGTCATCAGATATTGTGTCATCCATGAAAGTGGAGTGATATTTTACAGTATTAATGAGGGAAGTATGTAAACATCAATTGGTGATATCAGTATTGAACCTAAAGGTTCCCTATGATTTATATTATTTAATGAGGTAACTAGTTAGACCAAGTATTATACATACTTAAGGTGACCAGACATCCTGTTTCAGTAGGATAGTTCCACATAAGTTGATACACTGGAATCTGTCCCCGTTTTTCCTTTTTAACTATCAACTTTATCAAATAATACTGTAAATTATTACACAATGGTTCATTATTCCCTTATCTCACCCCTATTTTCTCTGCTTAAGCAGTATGAGATACTTATTTAATTTTTTTGTTATTTCTTAACAGTTTTAAATCAAAAACATGTGTTATAACCTCTCATACAACATCCCTAACTGCTTTAGAGCTAAGTCCAACATAATAAATTGTTTTCATTATCTTGGGTCTTTTTTTACTTTTGCTTACCTCAATATGTAATATATAGTAAGGGAAAGTATTGCAATCCTAAAAATTTTCTAGTCTGAGTTTTCAACGGAAATACATGTTTTTAGCTCCCTAGAATCTGAATAACCAAGTCCTGCAAATTAGTCTATGTGTGTGTACGTGTATGTAAGCGAATGAATAGTCTAGTTCAAAAACGAAAAGTCGTACGAAACTGATATTATCTATTTAAGATAGATATATATCTGGAATGTTACAGCAACTTTTTCATGGAAATTGGCTAACCGGAAGTGCCACTTTATATCATTCGTTTTCTATATCTTATTGTCAGCAGTAATGAAAATAGACTAAATATAAACTATAAAAGAATTTGATAATTGAAGAAAGGAAAAATGTTTAGGTTGAAAATGAATCTCCAGAAATAATAGCTGAAAGGTATAGGTATAATATATCGTTGGAAAACTTGAGAATTTTAGAAAAAAACAATATCTAATGTGGCAAGTTGTAGAAGGCCATGGAGACTAATGAAAAAAATAAAACTAAGGGTATTACCCTTAGTATACTCCTTGTCATCCAAATAATTCATTACCTTTTCCCAATTGAACTGAATGTCAATAGTCATTTACATATACTGTAACCTTCCATAATTAATTAAATATTGCTTATATAAAATCCAACAACTTCTATGTATTGTTTGTATCTTATATGAGGAGTCCTGAGGAAGACCTACAACATAGATCGAAACGTTGGAAAATACAACAAATATACTATTATAAAATACGGTGTTTTTTTACTGCACCACCGACTAATTTCTTGTGAGATTAATAATTAATCTTTAATTATTTAATGCGATATTTTTCTACGAGAGATTGCAATAATATTCTAAAATGATTTTTTATATGTAAAGTAAAATATTGTAATGTCACTAAAAACTTTTTTATATAATAGAGAGATAATTTTTATTTTTGTTCAAAATTGAAAGCAAAGATCATTGGGAAAAAAAGTCAAATTTAATTTTAAATGTTAAGATCCATTTTCAGTAATGTTAGTAGTAAATGATCAAACAGAGCTATTTCATTCCAGTAAGTGCGTTACGGCTTTCGTCTGATATCAGATATAAGGTTTCCCCCTCTTTAATTTATATAAACAGTGTAGAACCCAAGGTCCAAGGTACACGTGCTGAAAGGGGGTATGCAGAGGGTTCGGGGAATTGCCACTCTGTCGGGCATTAGGTATTGACAATTTTTAATTTTTTCGTTGCTATTTAAAAAAAAATTAATAAATAAATAAGTTTTCTTTCTTGTATGAAAGCATAATTTAGACTTGGGTTTTGATGTAAGTAACAGAATTAAAACCATGACATTAGAAATTTTAAATGAAGTATTAGAGCCCTAGTGATTGTCTGTAAGGCAAAAGGCCGAGGACCAGCGCAGTGCATTTGATCATTCCTTTGTTTAACTAGAATTTTCATTGATTATTCATTGAAAATCCTTCCAATCCCCAGCAGATCATATGAAGATTTGCAAGTTCTTTTCATAAAGAAATTTTCCTGAATTCAGAGATTTTTCACTATGGTATTCTTATAGATTTGTTTTATCATATGTGTGCGATCAATCTTTCTCAAACAGAAGCATGATTAAAAAAGAAATATTCTTTGCTCACAAATTCTCACTTGAAGAATTTATGTATTATATCTTCATCCAGAGTTGTGCTGAACTTTGGAAATCCGTCCAAATTAAAGCAACTTCAGAAACCTCATTAAGGATTATGGAATAGTTTCTTATTTATTTTGTATTTAGTTATATATTGTTGTTAATTGTAATATTTTTACTTATTATCGTGATTTCCTTTATATAAAAAAAAAAAAAAAAAAAGATTTAGCTATAGTATCAATTTTCTGAAAGATTGAAATAAGTTAAAGTTAGTGGAAATTAGTGATTAGCATGTAAGTAAGTACATAGTTACTTCAAACATATATTTTTATATTATAAATAATTGTTATTAACTGCTTTTATTTTGTAGGTATGTATAATTTTAAGAAACCATCACCTATATTATTTAGGAATAATGGAGGGGAAGAGAGGGTATGTGAGGAGGGTATCCCATGCCTCATGGGAAACCCTTGTTTTTGGCAGGGATTGTAAAAATGTTGAGCATCCCTGGTGTTGAAAGTAACTTAAAGGAACTGCAAAACCCTCTGTCCTCTCCTGGTATAATCACAATTATTTATTCTCTTGGGAGTTGATGTCACACAGAATGATTATTTTTACCAATCGAATCTTATTAATTATTAACAGTACTTTTACTGTTATTTATTAATTAATTACATGATTAGTACAAAAATAATTGTGGCATTGACATGGAAAAGGTTGTAAGTCATGAAAACGTAATTTTAAAAGAGAAGAAAAAAAAACACCTTTTGACAATTAAAAATGAATGCTCTTGATACGAGTCTTATCTACCACCGTTCATAGAAACTCAACCATTCCCAGTTTTGACTTACTCTTCCTTCGATTGACACGACTATTTACCACCATTTCTATGAAAAAAACTGAAAAATGATACATTCTGCTCCATATAATCATATTTATTTCTTTTGTCTTACGTGAAGTTACTCACCCATTCCCAGAGACAAATTAAAAACTGTTAATGGTCTTCCATCCATTTTATTTTTTTTTATACAGTGTGCTGGTAACATTTGTCCTTATTTTTTAACTACATTAAAAATAAATACATATATTCTTATAAGGTATTAGATTACCTTCTTAAATAGAACGTATTAGTAAAAAAATCCACCTTTAATAACCCAATATTGTGAAAATGGTAAACTTCCATCTGAGAATATGTGCATTGATTTTAAATGTAATTAAAAAATAAGGACAAATGTTTTTAACATGCTGTTTAAAAAAATAAGATGGATGAAAGACCATTTACAGTTTTTATTTTGTCTTATTATTGTAGACCATTGTAGGACCCTTATTAACCCATAACGTAGGAAGAAAAGAAATATATTCGGAAGAGAAAATTTGTATAATATATATACCTAAAAATAATACAAGGTATTACTAAATAATTTCAAACATCAAATAATATATGACTGAAAAATGATTTTTTTTTTACTTACTACCTTTTCCATGACAATGCCTCAATTAGTTGAACTCATTAGTAAATTTTTATAAATGTAAAATTAAGTTGTGAAAATTAACTATATCTATCCGCTTACTAAGTTGAATGAATTTTTATTGCGCTCTCATAGTCTAATGGTTTTGGAAGGCTGCCTGAGTATTCTCAAACTTTTATCTAATAAGAAGAATACCGTTGCATTCAAACTTAGGGACAATATTTATATAATTTAAATAAAATTGAACACGTGTACAAAAAAGTTGAGTCACTGGTTAATAATAAACATAATAATTTTTTTTTATATTACAAGAAGTCATAAGAATTTATTCATACTAAAAAGAAAATGATTGTGGGCTGATGGTTGACTGTAGTGAATAATTGAAGAGAAGGAGGGTTGGGGTGATCAGTCAAAATAAAAAATAGTAAAAATAAATAATGGTAAATAAAATGTATGTTATTATTTCTAAAAATTGTATGGTCTTTATTAAAATGTTACAATTTATCTTTAAATAAACATATGGAAAGTTTAATGTGTTGAAATTGTTGCATACTTGTGTTTGTTATTTTATTTTATTTATTCTATTATGTTAATTAGAATGCCTATTTACAATTACATGGACTCTTTTTAACTTTGCAACACAATCCATGTATGTATTTCTATGTATTTTTTTTCTGTATATTTCTTTGCAGTAATGAAACTAAATGTATGATACTTGTATGTACCCACTATCATACATATGATAAGTTACTTGTAAACCCACTAACTGTTGGTATAAGCTTAATATAATTCATTAGTTATTCTTCTAAATATTTTTTTGATATTTGGTGGAATATCTATTCATGTGCCATGATTGCGTATTTGATTTCAATTAGTTATAATAAAAATGTATATGTGTATAAAGTATATACGGATTCTATGTTCAATCTGATACTGTTCCTATTGGTAGCAAAAAACCTCTAATATTTTTAAGTAAAAGAATGTATAAATTGTGTTTTATCTATATAAACATGAAATATTTAATTAAATTCAGTAACATAACCTATCAAGCAGGTTAACTATTATTATAACAACACCTGCTTAATATATCCATATCCTAATAAGCGTGCCTCTTTAAAAGATAAAAGCTGCTATAGACTATCCACTCACCTTCCATTTTTTTTTTCCAGCTTTTTCTTTCTCTTAGTTCTTCAGCCTTTTGCTCCACTGTCTCGTCTTCTCCAGTCATAACAATGGTTCTCTCCGACATTGTGATATACCTTCCTAATTAGGGAAAGTCAACTTGAATAGGGAATAACTATATTCTCCTTATTGATTACACTGCCCTATAACAAATTTTTTTTCCTTGTATCTTCGACGAAAACTGTTTCTCCTGACTAATTTTGGTGTGAGAAACTCGAATTTTCTGTCAAAATCCTTATATTAGCTACCATTCTGCAGATATGTATACCCAGTATTAAGTACAGAAAATTAAGTTATTGGAAGTTACAAAAATCATTTTTTAGGCTTTAAAGGTGCTTTATTATTTGTGAAATACTTTTACAACCCACAAAATATTAAATTACAACTTCTCTCGGCAATAACAGCTCTGTTGTACAGTTTATTTAGAACATTTCTTCTTTGCTTGACGATTGTACTGATGTTCTGGCAAATCCCTCACAACGTTCCAACAGTGGTCTGCTAGCATTGAAATATCCCACCGACCTTGATATCTTAATTCTATCGAGCATATATCTTCGTGTATTCGCTCACCATGTTTGTCACTTACATATCTACAATTTTCTGGAAAGAAGTCCAAATAAGAGTGAAGAAAGTGAATCTTGAGTAACAAGTTACAACTGAGATCTCTGTATTTCTCAAGGAGGGTTTGGACTAAGACAGCATAATTTTCCTTAATTTTGTTATCCAAGAAATCATTAACTAAAGCTGTTAATGCTTCCCACGCTGCCCTTTCTTTACCCTGAAGAATATTAAAAAAATTCCCCGTCAATAAGAAACCCACGAATTTGTGGACCAACTAATACACCCTCCATCCCTCTATTCCAACTAGTACACGGTCCATTCCTTTGACAAAATTTTTTATAAGCTCTAACTTTATATGTAGTGGAGGCAATATGATTTTTTCAGAGCCCACAAGGGTTATATTTGTTTTTTAGGGTTTTGTTTTTTCGAGACATTCCATGATAAAGCGGAGGAGTCATGCAAAAGTAGCAGTTGTCAGTGTGATTAATAGACCCCCTCCATTGTAAATTAGTGTGGACACCATGGCAAAAGAAAAATGCATTGAACAACCTTTCTTGTTCAACCATTCTCTTAAGGTTACACTACATGTGATGCAGCAGATGTGCGGGGCCCACAGTTTATCTTGGTCACCAACCTTCACCCCAAAGTACTGTCTTGATCATCTGGGCGATAGAACATACTTTACTTGCAAAGGTTACTTCTCCACAAATGTAACAAAAGTTGTCAGAAGCATTCACACACTTCCTGGGTATTGTAACTTCACCAAAACTACTGGGTTATCATGACAAAATCGTTGAAAGAAGCAAGAAAAATCACGTCAAGAGTAACTTGAAATGTAAACACTGCATACAACTCCACACTGTATACAATGGTTCTGTGATTAACAGCTAGTCATTTTCCGCGATTCACAGACAGAAATCAATGTTACCAACCCAGGAGCAGGAACTAATCTTTGAAACTAGAGCTAACTGATGATTTTTATGTGGAAATTCGAATTTCTCTCCCCAAAAAACATGGACTGAGGCTGTTTTCAAGTTGGATACAATATCAATATAGAGCTGTGTTATTTAATGTTGAAGATTGATGTAGATATGAATTAAGATAATTCTTATCATGATCGATGCTGGAGCTGTGGTGAAAGTCTTGTCATGAAAACATCTTGTTTTTGGGATATTTTCAAAGAATAGATGACTCTTATCTAATTCAAATTAGTTACTCTAAAGATCAATCCATACCAAATACAAGAAATTGGTCGCTTTAACATTTGTTTATATTTTGTTTGTTGATTCCATTACCTTTCTTTAAATAAAAAGAGCTGAGGATTTTTTTTTTCTTTGACCATGTATAAATAATGGAAATTTTTCTTCGGATCCATCGGTCATTTTCAATAAATATAAAAATTTTTGATTTTATCAATAGATTGTTAGAATATTATAATATCAATAGTTATGATATTATATGAGTTTACTGGTAAATTAAAGTCATACTTGTTTATTTCCTTGGTTAAAGTTTGGTGACTCTTCGAAAAGGAGGAAAAACTCCAACCAATAGTAATATATGAGCAGTGAAAGCAAGTTTCAATTGGACTATGGAATAATATTTTCTCTTCACAAACAAAAAATATTGTTACTAAATTAGGAAATGAAATAAGTACTTAATTTTGTTTCATATTAAAAATGGCATAATTAATTATATAAAATTAAGATTGTTATCTGAATAATTGGAAGACTGCATTTTTTTTCTATTACGTAATGTTATATGACTTAGCTGTAATATTTTTGATTATCCTATAGCTATATTTTAAATTATGGTTTGTGTTTTTTTATTGTGGATTCAAATTTATTAGTTTTGAAATTTCTTCATGAAGTTTTTTTGCTTCTTAACTATCTTAAAAAATCATTTATTGGCACCCCACATTTATTATCTTTTACTGTTTTTTTTTTAATGATATTTGAAGACCTGAAGGAAATTATAGAGCAAGTTGGAAAGTGATATATATGATAGGCAATTCCACAAATCTTTGCTTATATTTTATTAATTACTTTGAAAATTATAGAAAACATTTCAATTAGCTCTAAATTGATGCCAGTTATGGAAGCTGATAAAGCCTGATTCTAAAAACATTTCCTTGCACATTTCTTGTTATTGGTATTCAAAGAGCATTTACAATTATTTTTTACTTGGCAAAAGCGTACTTGATCCTACTTAGTTATAGCAATTTATCTATACCTTCTCCAAAATATAAATTTAGTTTCTTGAATTACACTCAAGTAATATTATCTTTTAAAATTATGTTTTGTTTTTATTTTGTTTTATGTTATTTTATCTTTATAAGCATGAAGTTACTATGGGTTAAACGTGAGAGCATCCACAAATTATCAGTCTGCCATTTTTTATTATTTCCTTTATCATGATCGCTCCATTTTATTTAATTGTTGACACACTTTGTTCTGCCATAAAATGTGGTTAATAATACTATTTTATCTGTTAATTAAGAGGCTCTTTGTTGTCACTAAATTGAACTGATATAAAATTTAAATTCATTAAATAATATTATGGCTATATAAAATTATTTAGGATTGGTTTATTTTGCTATTGGATTGATCTATAATATTTTTTCTTGTTTGCAAAGGAAAACAAATATAGTCTTGATGTGTCATTTCCTTGAGTCAGATGATAACAGAGGGTTCTAGGTAATTATTATCTAACAAAAGGAGCTCTAGCTGAGGTTGGTTCAATAGGAACCACCTTTATTGATGGTACAGAACAGTCATTCCCCCACTTAATCCTTCCCTTCATAATTTTTGGTTCAGTGGTTGCTCTACTTGTTTTTTTTTTTATTATTTTAGGAATTATCTATTATATTGAAACAAATATGACTGAACCTTTTTATGTTGCTGTGAAAGCTTCTCTTCATGCTAGTGATTCATCTGTTTTTGGATTGGCTCCAGAAGAAATAATTGCTTTGTCTAAACGCTATTCTGATTGTAATAGAGAGGTTATTAACGGAGTATTGATTAAAGGTAATGAGATTGGTTCTTATAAGCCAATGTCTTTGTTCAATTATTCAACTGCTTTTATTATTCTGCTTATTTGCTTTTGATGGATTAATGCTTTCAATGTGCCATTGCCTTAAAACAATTAGTTTTAAGGAATATTGAAAATTATTATAAAAAGGTTTTTCATTTTTTTGTCTTATACAAAATTAAGTATAACACGTGTATACAGCACAAATTTTGTTTAAATAAAATAATGAGCTTATTATTTTTTAATGTGAAGAAGAGTTATATTTAATGTGTTTCGATTGGTTTTTATAATGTATTTTTATATGAAATCCATCAGGATATTTAAAATATAAATATCATCCTTAATGCAGAAATCACATTGTATGCTTGTGAATAGTCAGCTATGCTAAGATAATGTGGGAATATCATGATTTTTTTTTTTCAATTTCTCTTAAATATTATCATTTTACATGATTATATTTTATTTTGATATTTATTGAAATAGTTACTTTTGATTTTCAAGTCATGATAAATTTATGCATATTTTTCGAAAGATCATCACGTTATAGTTAAGATAACTATGATATATTAACACAATAATATTTTTAGACGTAATAAATTCTATCTTACATAGACTGAGATTGGATTCTTCTATGATTTGATCAGAATCACTCACTCACTGCAATAAACTTATGCTCTTTTTTTATAATTCACTGGAATGAACTAGCTGGTTTCCATCTCTCACCACTCCTCAATTTGACAGTTTTTTATTGTGGACATAAAAGTTCTAAAACCTTTGATAATTTTTTGAAATAATTAATTTCCAATAAATTTTCATCAAATCTTTAAATAGATATTATGGGATCTAATAGGAAAAAAATACAAAAACATTGTAGTCTGGCAAAAAGTAATTGAAGCAGTTGCATGTTTTTTTGGCTTCAAAAAAATTGAACGTGTTATTTGTAAAAAGTGTTTAATATTCAACATAAGGAAGCTTTGGGCTATTGAAAACTGATTTCTGATAAAAATTACAAATTTGGTCCTATATTTATTTCCTTGATAGTCATAATAAAAATATTGTAACTTTTTGATTTTTGCTTGCAGCTAGTCCTTTAAAAGTTATTAACTCACTATCTGAACTTGGATACCGTGTTGTCTGCAGTTCTGGTGAGGCTGAAATTGTCTGGACATTGAAAAGAGACGTTTTGGTAATTATTGGATTTTTTAAAGCTAACATGTATCTTTCGTAGAATATATTTTGATATTTTATAAGTTTCTGTTAACCCATTTCTGATTGAGTTGCACTCATTTTTTTTTTTGTTAATTTAAAAGCCACTTGTATCAGGTTTTCAACTGTAACATGCTAAAAAATTTTTTCTTTATTCTAGAATTCACCTCAAATTACGATACAATTAAAGATTTATTTACTACTCCTTTAACATAAGAAACTGTTGAATAAAACTTGATCATTTAAGTTCACCAACTTTTTTGTTGCTTTTTACTACTTGATTTACTGCTTTGTATTAACACTTGCCAAGATGCAATAAACAAATATTAAGACATTATGCTTGAAGATATAATGTTAAGGCATATTATTAATATAAACTCTAGGGAACTTAAAACTTAATTTTTGGAGTGTTATTTTTATTTAAATAGTCTTTTAATTGATTAAAGATTACTTTCTTATGATTTTCTGCTTTAAGTTTATTAAACAACTTAATTTAGTCTTAAAGGAAGTTTCTTTTATTAATAATTTATTAATTAAATTTTGACTTATTACAGGGATTAAACACAGACTTATAACAAACATCACATTAAGATTAGTTAATATTTCATGAACTACAATTACAATAATTCCACTAAACTCAATTCTCTGGCTTCCTCTGATGGATTCATTTAAGATTTTCATTATTGCCAGTTTTCTCTGCACACTAGCTTAAAAAAAATTTTTAAACATTTTATTTATTTGCTCTTTAAAAATATCTTGAAAAAATATGTATTTCATTTCTTTTAATATTCAAAACAAATTTAATTGCTAAACTTAATTTGTCTGAAAATAAATTTTCTGTTTACAAATCTCTTTTCTAGACTAACACTTAATGCATCTTTGAATAATCAATGTTAAAATGTTGACAAACAAAAATATTATGGTAGAAATCATAAAATGATCTTCTGGTGATGTGAAGGTCATCAGGCAGAATTTCATATGATTTATTTATTATTGTATTTTTTATTATTATTTTTATGTTGATTAATTATATAACTTTTCTTTCTTTGTAAATCATTTTGTCAAGAATGTGTATAATTTTGAATTCTAAGGGGTTGAACAGTATTTTTCACAAAAAAAACTTCTGACCTCTTTTTGTTGGAATTAAAGCCAATTGTTTTAATTTATTTTCAGAAGTCCATTACAAAACAACTACATTGAAGAACTTACATCAGAATTGTTCATTTTAGGTATTTTGTTTAAAAATGAATTCATTTATTGGGCTCAGGGTTCTCCTTAGTGAATGTTATGATTTTTGTGTTGAAATAGCTTTGACTGTAATTAATCTAGTTGAATATTAGGGATTAATTAATAAATTAATAAAAATCATATTTGATGACTAATAAACTTTTAATGATGAATGCCTTTCAGTATGAGTATTTCTTTTTAATTATTATGTGTTAATGAATCGCTATTTGGCATGCTCTACATTTTTTATATATATTTTTTAAACTTAACTGTAGAAAAACATTGTAAATGAACAATTAGTGTTGCTCTCTCTTTTTTTATACGTTATTCTTAAATTTGAAAACTTTAAATTAATTAGTTTTTTAATTTCATGATTTTACTAATACTATTTTTAAATATTATCAAGTAGGTAAGAAAATTATGAAGTGTGTTATTATGATTTTATTAGAATAAAAGTTTAGATCGAACTTGGGGGTTTATGGATATCAAATGAAAAATTAGAGCTCATATGCATTATAATAATGACACAAGCAAATTTTAATTAATGTAATATTTTTACTTCCTCATTGCGAAAGGTCAAAAACCTGTGTATTTATACAGGAGAGTAAAAAAATTTTTGTGCTCCGAATCAGGAATTTCCACATGCATTTTATGTTTTAAACATCATGTAACAAATTTGGTTCCATGTCTATAGTCAAATCCAATAATAGTATCATCATCTACTATCATCAGATTTTCAATGTTTCAGAGATTGTGCTGGTTAATATCTAGATGGTCTCAAAGTGATTCCATTTACTACTTTTATATATGCACGTGTAAATATATTTTCTTAGTTATGCCTATATTTCAAAACACCTCTTTCAATTTGGCTCATTTGGTGTAAAATCAGTGATTAGTGAAAATGTATCAATTTTGAGACTGATTAGTGTAGTATAGAATTGTACTTGCGGAATAGGATGGCTGGAAAAGTTTGATTGGGAAGGACATTTAGTATTAGTGTTTCAATGTATTCCAGAATGCTATTCATTAGTTTAAGAATAAGAATATAAAATCGTCTTATTTATGAGAAGTTTCTTCTGAATGGAACAGTGAGAAATCTAACTTCTCAGTCTATAGTATAGCTAAATCATCAGGTAGGTTATCTCCCTTTGGGTTTCGAATAGAGATTTCGATATGTTAATGTACATTATTGTGTAGATTATAGGTACTGGTATGTTTGAGAGGTGGACAAGATTTGTGGTGAAGGTTATTATGTACTTGCATTTTTGTCAGCTGTTTCAAGCTCTGAGTGGAATGATAAAATGACCCTATTGCCAGTTTATCCAAGTTATGAGAAAGATATCAGAGATTGTCCTTGCACATAATATTATAGTCAGATACATAGTTAGTTCTAACAAGTTGGTGCACATTTATTTGTTTTTATATTTTGTAAACTAATCTTTTTTTTTTTTTTTTTTTATGATAATTTGTTGCATGGTCGATCAAGTGTGTGATTTAATAAAATATGAACTAATATTACTTATTGCTTGGCTGGTAGTCTCATGAAAGTATTGTAGAATTGAGAAAACATTCTTCTTACATAGAAAAGCATGACATTCTAGGGAGTCTGTATGTTCTATTCATTTTTTATTTAATTGAAATTGGATAAATAAACAAATAAATATCACATTAAATATTTTGGTTTTTAATGTTCAGTATTTTTTCTTAATCTTAATCTTTTTTTTTATTATTACTTATTCACAACATTTATCATAATTGCATTTAGTTAATTGTGAAATATCTGACATTGTTAAAATATAATACCACACATTATCTATATATAATAAATGAGAAAGTATTAGATAGAAATATTTGTGGTTCAAGTGATTTGGATTTCCAAAGTTTTTGAAGTAAACCATCGATTTATTTCTTCTAAATCTTTTATGCTAATAAAATTTATCTCTGTTTATAATATATTTTTAATGGTTATAATATTTAAATTATATTCTATAAAATTAGGTTCTATTTTGTATTTAAAAAATTCAGTTCAGAAATGGATTAGCCACACTGCAAAAGCCTATAATTACAAGTTAATTAGAATTATGCTTTCTCAGGAAATCTTGGCATAAGACATATTCATAAAAGCGAACTAAAACTATTATTTAGAAGATTACTTCTTATACATGTAATAAAGGTTGAACGGAAAATCTACTTCATAAAACAAAAAATACATGGTTTATTTCATCTTATAAATAATTTTATGTTTTGCATTTACAGGTGTTCAATTAGAGTAATAAGTATTTTATTGCTTTTTTTACTATATTTAATAATTTTATTTGAGGATCACTTTTTTATGGCTTAAAACATCTCTATAAATTATCTCCTCTACGTAGACACCTCTGTTTTTAGACATGAAATGCCCTTGTGCCCTTAACCTTCAACTTTCTCTATAGATCACAATTATAAAAACACAATAGTGTTCAAAGTTTTTTATTTAGTCTCAGTTGTAGAAGGAATAGAATGTTATGAAAGTTCAAGCATGTAAATGAATTAATTTTTTTTTGTTCTCTTTGATATTACAGATTAATGATAGGTGTGGCCAAATGCACAATTCTTTTCAAAATAATCTCGAAATATCTCCTTTAAAGTTCTTATGTATTTTAGATGAATTTTATTTATTTTGTACATTTATAACCCACAAAGTTTGACTCCACTAAGAGTTGTCTTTATCTTGCACCATCAGTATTTTCATTATTTGTTTATTTTGAATTATTATCTAGGAATATTAAGGAAGTGGTTAAAACTAAAATTTAATGTTTAAAGTAATAAAAAGTTATTTTGGGAAAGATATTAAACCTATATTGAGTGGGATTAGTAAAGTGAAAATTAGAACACAGTATACTTAATTTTTGTAAATGTTAAACAAGTTTGTATCAAGCACTTTCTTTGTCTCAGCTTAAAACAAACATCTTATACAAGCAGAACCAATGTTTTCTGTGTTAAACCAATAAATTAAAGGTAATAACTTAAAGGTTGTTTATTAAAAAACAAAGAAAAAAACTTTAGGATTTCATTTATAATTTTTCTCTTTTTTTGTACTCAACAGGTATTTTGAAAGATACCAAGAGAATTTTAGGAAACATATTTCTATCTCTATTAACCTTGATCAAGTTCACTTGTGAATTAATTATGACGTTATTTCTTTCTTTAAGTAATTTTCAATCTTGAGCCTTAAGTCTCACTTGTCATTGTCAATCATGTTAGTTACATTTACATATACAATATTTTGTTTAGCTAGGCATATTACTTTCATTATATAGTTACTCTTCATATTACATATTTATATATATTTTTTTATGGTGAACAGACTTCCCCAGGCCCAATCGAACGTACATATGCCTCACCTAGCAGTGAAGGGGATTCCAGAGGGTAAGGATTGCCTCGTGTTTGGGCTGACCCAAGCAGAAGTGAGGAAGCTTCAAGGGGAAGCTCCCATTTGGGGCCATAAGTCTGGCCAAGACGGCCGCCAGTTCACTTGGTCTCCACTGGTTGCTGTTCAAGCACTATCCTCACTTCTTGGCTACAGAGTTGTTGCCACGGCTCAGTCTACCCATGCCACTGTCGTTTATACTCTCTACCGACCTCCTTTCCAAAGATATTAGGTACGATTTTTTTCTTCTGAACTTGAAAAGATCCTGTTTACCTCTTAGTGTGTTTTAATAGCTTATCCATCTTAAAACTTTTGTCATTAATTGTTAATACTTTGTTTATAATAAATTTTTTTTTTTAAAGTTGTTGATTTGCTGAGTAAATATTTTTATTTTCCATTTCAGTTCAGTTGTGTCTTTAAGTAGAGTTTCATTGATTATACTTATTTTTAGGTTAATGTAATCTTGTATCACTGAATATTGTTACTAATTTTTATTACTTTTTCAATATGATTTATATTTAATTTAAAAAAAAATTAAAATATTCATGATTTTTCACCATATTATGTCATGCCTCATTTTTTTTTTTATTATGCTCTAAAACAGGCTGTAGTCTGATGATTATTATGTATTTAAAATTGCATGAGAAAAATTTAGATTTATCAAATTTTGTTAATTTTTCAGAAGAAAAAAGAAAGAGAGTCGGATTGACTTTATTAGATAATAAAACTTTACTTCTTTCTCTTTTCACTTAAGCTTTAAATATGAAAAAGATGTATTCTTTTTTCTCATTTTTATATTATATATAGTGTACATATTGTAATTAGTCGTTTACAATTAAATTCAGGCTTATTACAATTTTCTTATCTTTATTTGAATGATATTTTGACCCATACTCCAAGGTATTTGTCAGCTTTATACAACTAAGATACAAACATAATAAACTAATTTAGATAATAAAGATAATCGTTAGTGAAAAGACAACATGGCACATACATGTAATATATGCATTTATTCCCTTGTAATTTCTAAAAGTAATTTTTAAACAAAAACCTCTATGGTAACTGAATATTCCTGTTCCCTTTAGATTAATTGTCTATTTGAAATTCCTTATATGCTTACTCCAGTTAAACAAACTAAGTGATTTTTTTTTTAAATTATGAAATTGTAGAGTTTTACTATTATTGTAATGAAGGCTCTAACTTGGTTAGATTTTAAAAATGTAGAGAACGATATAAATCTTGAAAGTAAAGGTTCGTTTACCTAAGGATGGATTTTGGTCAAGATTGTACTATATTTAATGATAGTTTTAAGAATAAATAAAAAAAAAAGTAGTTTTATTCTGGTAAATTATCTGTAAGAATAATTGCATTGTTTTAATTGTATGCACTTTTGTCTGGCTTAATATATATATATATATATATATATATATATATATATATATATATATATATATATATATTAGTCAAATACTTTGTAATAAATATTGTTATAGAAATTTATATTGCTTGTATTTAATGAGGTTCAAGAAGTGAGAGAAGACAGCTATTAAATGAAAACAGAAAGTGAATTAAACTGTTAAGATAAAAGACCTAACCTGTAACTAATTTCATTCATTAAGGACTGTATCTGGTAGACATAAGGAGCACTGATAACTCATTGATCAAAGATTTCTTGGTTATAATTTATCTTCTTGTCAAGTGAGATTATTAACCCTTAAAGAAGAGCATATATTTTTTTCTAAAAAAATGAAAATTTGTTATTATTTTCTTAAATAATGGGAATGCTGAAATACTCTGAAATACTTAATTCACCATGTTCATAGTATGAAAAAAGGAAGTTTAGAATTTTATATTATAAGATCGTATTATATATAATCTATATTATATTTCGACTCATTTCGTTACTAAAAAGGATTTAAAAAAAAATGATAACTCTTTCAAGTGACCTCATAATTATTTTCTATGGTACTCTGCAAAGCAAGAAATGTAGAACTCTATTCACTGTCACATTTTTTACACCAGTTCTGTTGCTCATTAGCGATGATTTCCTTTAATTACAAAGTGGTCGATCCTGTCACACCTTCATTGCTCACTGACTCACCTGTACTGTCATTCATAATATACCTCTCAACATAAATGTTGTGTTGTACCTGCCCAGTTATACAGTTTGGCAACTAAAGTAATTATTTTTGAGTATTACAATAGGCAACAAATAGTAAAGAATACCAATGACTTTTAGTTTTTATTAACTAACTAACTCCTCGGCGCTACAGACCCTTGGCCTCCTGAGTTATTTTTCTCCACTTCTCTCTGTCCTGTGCTACTCTCTTCCAATTGTGAACTCCTAACTTCCTCGCATCTCTCTCCACTTCATCCTTTCATCTGCTTCTCAATCTTCTTCTTTTCCTCTTCCCACTAAAGTGCGCTTCCAATATTTTTTGTGCACCCGTTCATTCTCCATTCTGACCAGATGTCCTGCCCATCTCAGCCTACTTGCCTTTCCTTGATATAGTTAGTAATGTTTTGATTCTCTGATATAGCCTCAATTTCATTGTTACTTTTGATTTTCCACTCGCCATTAACACTTGTAGCACCGTAAATCCTTCTTATTATTTTCCTTTTGAGTACTTTTAGTTAACGGCAATCCTCTTGTGATAGACACCAGGTTTCCGCTTCATAGGTGAATGCTGGTCTAATAAGTGTTTTATACAGCTTTAATTTTGTGCCTTTTGACAACAATGGAGACTTGAGAAGTTTTAGGTTTGCATAGTAAGCTCTATTACCAGCCATTATTGTTTTGTCTATTTCTCTGCTGATTACATTTTCATTATTTGGGGCAGAACCGAGATATACGAATGTGAGTACATTTTTGAACTTAAAATTCTTTATTCTGATTTCACTGCAGAATCTTCTACTTGCTGCCGAGGACAGTTTGAGGTATTTAGTTTTGTTTTCATTGACCACAAGTCCTATTTTGTTGCCATTTTCATATATGATCTCAAATGCCTCTTTAAGTGCCTTTTCACTTCGCGCAGCTATCACCAGGTCATCAGCGTAAGCACAAATTCGGCAGGTCTCGTCAGCGTTACTGCCTTTTTTAGCTGCATCTTTCATAGCAGCATGCAGAGCTATGTTGAATAGCGTTGCCGATAAGGCATCTCCTCGACCCACTCCAGATTGTAACCTTGAACAATCGACCAACTTTATTTCTAATAACAACTTTGGATGATGATAATTATTATATTGTAATTATTTGTTCACTGTTAATAATTAAATATTTATTGCCTTTTTATTTTTAGCACTTTAGTCTAAATTTTATTATGAAAGTGGAAATTTATTAGCTTGTATTTTATTTATTTATTTTTTCTGATCAGCTATATTACATAAAACATTAAAGCAAAACATAAAATTGAAGATAATAAACAAAAGGTATTAAAGGAACTGTACATCACACTATAGTAGTTCAAATTAATCATTTTGAGCATGACCATTGTTTATATTCCTGTTATTTTGGATTATTAAGGAAATAGGTTCACCTTATTATTTGATGCTTTATAATCTTTTACAAAAATTGAACATGCTGGAATATAAGCTGCATGATTTTGAAACTACACTAAAAATTAATTTCCCTTCTATACAAAAAATACAGATTGAAAATATTTTTCATATAAAAACAATTTAATCATCCCACTTTCAAAATAGTATCACTTTATTACACTCAACAATTACATGAAAATTGGGTATTATCGGATTATTTCAAGAAGTCACTAAGTTCATTTTTGATGGAGCTGAACTTTTAAGAATGTTATTGTGAATTACATATTACATATTTATTGACAAAAAACATAAAAAGTGTACTAAAATGACAAACTTTTTTATATATCAAATATAGTTATAACAAGTGCTCAATGTTCTGATTTCGCAAAGGTAAAATTCATCACAGTTCTTAGCTAATTAAGGTTATGAAATATCACTTAATGACTTTTTGCAATAAAATTACAATATAATTAATTAAATACATTTGTTAAATATAAAATGAAATAAGCCAAAGTTAAAAATAAAATTAGTGAAGTAATATGATTTGCAAAGAAAATAAACGATAATGATAAAAATGACAGAAAACTGAAATATTTAATACAACTGTAAATGGTGAGGCCCCAATTTTAAATATTTTCATGAATTATTCTCTTTAATATGCAAAGTAAATAAGTGTATACTTATTTAAATATTGAAATTTAAACTAAATTTTTTCTTCATTTTCTATTTGAGTTTCATGTTTTTTTTTGTTGTTACATTTGTGTTATTACTAGCCTGTCTAAATCTGTGTAATTATATTTATTTCTCTATGTCTAGTTACTGATCATGTCCTTGACACAATTATTGATTGTTATAATAGAAGAAAGAATAAAAGGGAGGTAACTTCGAAGAACATTTCTCTCTCCTGCATTGATTATTTTTTTCATAACAATAGATTTACTGTTTAGAAGAAGATCGAGTTTTCCTCTCCCACCAAATTTTTTTACCCTCGAATGTATGGGAAAAGGTTATAATGTGAGCAAGGTCACCTGCTCGTCATTCTGCCTTCTACTTAAAATCATATTTGCTGTTTTCTTTGTCACTGATAAATACTACTCATGAGGTGGATGGGATGACCGAACGGGCTAAGGCATGTGCACAGCACCGCCGTTGCCTGGCAACCTGTTATATGAGACAAATGATAAAAAATAGTCACAAGTTCGTGTCCGGAGGTCGGTGCCGGAGGTGTCTTATAAATCCCCGCCCACATTCCCTGGCCCAGGAAAATCCCGTATAAAGGGCGAAGGGGAGAACCAAAAAAAAAAAAATAATATTCTATTCATGGAGACATGAACTTGATTTCCAATTCCCTTGTGAAGTATTTATGTTAATTAGAACTAAATGTAAAAGAATAGTTATTTATGAAAATAATGGTTTAAATTTTATTAAAATTTAAAACAGTAGAAATGTATAGCTTACATGGTGGG